CTTCACACTTCACACTTCACACTGCGCTCTTCGCACTCCAAACTGAAACTTCACACTCCACACTTCACACTCCACACTTAACACTTCACACTTCTCACTTCTCACTGCTTCCTTCACACTCCAAACCTCACACTTCACACTTCACACTGCCCTCTTCGCACTCCAAACTGAAACTTCACACTCCACACTTCACACTTTTCACTTCCCACTGCTTCCTTCACACTTCACACTTCACACTGCACTCTTTACGCCCCACACTTCCCACTGCTCTAAACCTACGTGCAACAAAAAACACTAGTGCCAAAATGGAGAAAATCTGCTAACAAATCCATTTCGCAGCCTTCATGCAGCCACTCCAAGACGATTTCCGAGATCCAGCTGCAAAAGTCAATAGTATTACCAATGCAGCCACAGCACGAAGCAACCTTGACGCAGCCATTACAATGCGATCTGCAGAGACAGAGTTGCAAAACACAATAGAACTACGCACAACGGCGTCGGAAATTGTAGCTCCAAAACCGGATCTCGACGCCAGAGCGAAAAAAAGACGATTTTGAAGCACTTTTTAAAAGGATTTTTAGAAGGAAATTCACTGGCGCCAAAATGGAGAAAATCTGCTAACAAATCACTGTCGCAGCCTTCATGCAGCCACTCCAATAGGATTTACGAGTTCCAGCTGCAAAAGACAATAGTATTACCAATGCAGCCACAGCACGAAGCAACCTTGACGCAGCCATTACAATGCGATCTGCAGAGACTGAGTTGCAAAACACAATAGAACTACGCGCAACGGCGTCGGAAATTTTAGCTCCAAAACCGGATCTCGACGCCAGAGCGAAAAAAAGACGATTTTGAAGCACTTTTTAAAAGGATTTTTAGAAGGAAAATCACTAGCGCCAAAATGAAGAAAATCTGCTGACAAATCACTGTCGCAGCCTTCATGTAGCCACTCCAATACGATTTACGAAGTCCAGCTGCAAAAGACAATAGTATTACGCATGCAGCCACAGCATGAAGCAAACTTCACGCAACCATTACAATGCGATCTGCGGAGACTGAGTTGCAAAACACAATAGAACTACGCACAACGGCGTCGGAAATTGTAGCTCCAAAACCGGATCTCGACGCCAGAGCGAAAATTACTTTACTTCGTGTGATCCCCACCATGACATTTATACATTTTGTTACTGGCAAATCTTCTGGCATTCTATCTGACATATTTTCTGGCATTCGATCTGGCATTCTATCTGGCATATCTTCTGGCATTCTACCTGGCATATCTTCTGGCAGATGTTCTGGCATATCTTCTGGCATATCGTCTGGCATATGTTCTGGCATATCTTCTGGCATTCCATCTGGCATTCTATCTGGCATATCTTCTGGCAAATCTTCTGGCATTCCATCTGGCATTCTATCTAGCATATCTTCTGGCATATTATCTGGCAAATCTGCTGGCATTCTATCTGGCAAACATTCTGGCGCTTTATCTGGCATATCTTCTGGCATTCTAGCTGACATTCTATCTGGCATACCTTCTGGCATTCTATCTGGCATATCTTCTAACATTCTATCTGGCATATCTTCTGGCACTCTATGTGGCATATCTTTTGGCGTGGATACTCGTGGTTGAGGTCCGGCAGGGAACACTGGGCGTGGATGGTCGTGGTTGAGGTCCGGCAGGGAACACTTGGCGTGGATACTCGCGGTTGAGGTCCGGCAGGGAACACTGGGCGTGAATGGTCGTGGTTGAGGTCCGGCAGGGAACACTGGGCGGGGATGGTCGTGGTTGAGGTCCGGCAGGGAACACTGGGCGTGGATGGTCGTGGTTGAGGTCCGGCAGGGAACACTGTGGATCGCGGGTCGCAGTTGGACGAGGAGGACGAGGAGGACGACGAGGAGGAGGACGACGAGGAGAAGGAGGAGGACGAGGACGAGGAGGACGAGGAGGAAGCAACTGACATAAAATCTAACAACCCTCACCTGGCAGGTGGGGAAAAAAACGATTTTGAAGCACTTTTTAAAAGGATTTTTAGAAGGAAAATCACTAGCGCCAAAATGGAGAAATTACTTTACTTCGTGTGATCCCCACCATGACATTTATACATTGTCTTACTGGCAAATCTTCTGGCATTCTACCTGACATATCTTCTGACATTCTATTTGGCATTCTATCTGGCATATCTTCTGGCATATGATCTGGCATATCTTCTGGCATTCTATCTGGCAAATTTTCTGGCATTCTATCTGGCATATCTTCTGGCATATTATCTGACATATCTTCTGGCATTCAATCTGGCATTCTATCTGGCATATCTTCTGGCATATATTCTGACATATCTTCTGGCATTATATCTGACATATCTTCTGGCATATATTCTGACATATCTTCTGGCATATCTTCTGGCATATCTTCTGGCATATCTTCTGACATATCTATCTGGCATATCTTCTGGCATATTTTCTGGCATTCTATCTGGCAAATCTTCTGGCATTCTATCTGGCATTCTATCTGGCATATCTTCTCGCATATTATCTGGCATTCTATCTGGCATATCTTCTGGCATATCTTCTGGCATATCTTCTGACATTCTTTCTGACATTCTTTCTAACTTTCTTCTGCGCATTCTTTGTCCCATATCTTCCTACATGAGGTCCGGCAGGGAACACTTGGCGTGGATACTCGCGGTTGAGGTCCGGCAGGGAACACTGGGCGTGGATGGTGGTGGTTGAGGTCCGGCAGGGAACACTGGGCGGGGATGGTCGTGGTTGTCCGGCAGGGAACAAACCTGGGCGTGGATGGTCGTGGTTGAGGTCTGGCAGGGAACACTGGGCGTGGATGGTCGTGGTTGAGGTCCGGCAGGGCACACTGACGTGGATGGTCATGGTTGAGGTCCGGCAGGGCACACTGACATGGATCGCAGTGGAGCAGGAGGAGGACGAGGAGGACGAGGAGGAGGAGGAGGAGAAGGAGGACGAGAAGAGGGAGGAGAAGGAGGAGGACGAGGACGAGGAGGACGAGGAGGAAGCAACTGACATAAAATCTAACAACCCTCAGCTGGCAGGTGGGGAAAAAACGCATTTCGTGCGAGACTTCCTTCAAAACTCCATCGGCAACTCATCCACCAGCACCACTTGCAATCCCATTTACATTGCGGGAACGATCCTACAGTTGCAAATCACAATGGAATTCTGTCGACCGCACATGCACGAAAAACATTTGAAACCCCATTTACAATGTGGAACCGATCCGAGAATGATCCGACCATGATCCGAGAATGATCCGACCACACACGAGACCGTCTCGCACCCGTCGCACCGCAGAGGTAGATCATCGACGTTCGGGGACGGACTCTGTATGGAAAAACACAGGGTTTCGTGCATCTGCTATCTCTCAAAAACGCATTTCGTGCGAGACTTCCTTCAAAACTCCATCGGCAACTCATCCACCAGCACCACTTGCAATCCCATTTACATTGCGGGAACGATCCTACAGTTGCAAATCACAATGGAATTCTGTCGACCACACATGCACGAAGAACACTTGAAACCCCATTTACATATGCGGAACCGATCCGAGAATGATCCGACCATGATCCGACCACACACGAGACCGTCTCGCACCCGTCGCACCGCAGAGGTAGATCATCGGCGTTCGGGGACGGACTTTGTATGAAAAAACACAGGGTTTCGTGCATCTGCTATCTCTCAAAAACGCATTTCGTGCGAGACTTCCTTCAAAACTCCATCGACAACTCATCCACCAGCACCACTTGCAATCCCATTTACATTGCGGGAACGATCCTACAGTTGCAAATCACAATGGAATTCTGTCGACCGCACATGCACGAAAAACACTTGAAACCCCATTTACAATGCGGAACCGATCCGAGCATGATCCGACCATGATCCGAGCATGATCCGACCACACACGAGACCGTCTCGCAACCGTCGCACCGCAGAGGTAGATCATCGAGGTTCGGGGACGGACTTTGTATGGAAAAACATAGGGTTTCGTGCATCTGCTATGTCTCAAAAACACATTTCGTGCGAGACTTCCTTCAAAACTCCATCGGCAACTCCTCCACCAGCACCACTTGCAATCCCATTTACAGTGAGGGAACAATTTCTTTGACTAACTCGTTCCCTAACGAACTCTTTCTTTGCTCTTTCTTTGACTAACTCTTTCTTTGACTACCTCATATATCCTGACTAACTCTTTCTTTGACTACCTCATATATCCTGACTAACTCTTTCTTTGACTAACTCTTTCCCTCACTAACTCTTTCTTTGACTAACTCTTTCCCTCACTAACTCTTTCTTTGACTAACTCTTTCCCTCACTAACTATTTCTTTGACTAACTCTTTCCCTCACTAACTCTTTCTTTGACTAACTCTTTCCCTGACTAACTGTTTCTTTGACTAACTCTTTCTTTGACTAACTCTTTCCCTGACGAACTCTTTCTTTGCTAACTCTTTCTGTGACTAACTCTTTCCCTCACTAACTCTTTAACTCTTTCCCTGACTAACTGTTTCTTTGCTAACTCTTTCTTTGACGAACTCTTTCCCTCACTAACTCTTTCTTTGACTAACTCTTTCCCTCACTAACTCTTTCTTTGACTAACTCTTTCCCTGACTAACTGTTTCTTTGCTAACTCTGTCTTTGACTAACTCTTTCTTTGACTAACTCTTTCCCTCACTAACTCTTTCTTTGACTAACTCTTTCCCTGACTAACTGTTTCTTTGACTGACTCTTTCTTTGACTAACTCTTTCTTTGCTAACTCTTTCTTTGACTAACTGTTTCTTTGACTAACTCTTTCTTTGCTAACTCTTTCTTTGACTAACTCTTTCCCTGACATTCTAAAAGTCCGTAACACGGAAGTTTCTCCCCCTAAACTTCCTTTGATGAATGGGATGTCACTTCAATTTTCCTTCAGCGGGGGCCAAAAAAAGTCCATCCTCGAAGAAGTAAACCCTGCAAGGCAAATTCCATCTGCGGCACCTTCAGCCTCCAGAAAGTCGAACACCTCGGCTCTCACAAACATAGAACCGCTCCCGAGAGAATTTAATGATTTGATGTACCAATACCCTCTGGTAATTTAACATAGCGAACTGGAAGCTATGGCCCATGTATAGATGGTTTAAATTGACCTATCAGCCTATGATGATATCGACAAAGCCGGTCATTTCTGGCCTGCAGTGACAAACACAAAAGGTAACGTCCGGTAACGTCAACTTGCGCTGTTGCCAGGTGAATCACTTGAAAGCCGTTACTAGGTCGTTTCACCAGCTGGAAAAGCATAAGTGTGTAGCTTCAGAGTGTTTCAGAGATCTAAAAAGCCGAAAGTCTTTCTCAGCTTCAGAGATATGCGCAGCATGTCGCACCCAGAGTCTGAGATGTCGAATGTCATTTTGGTGCTTTGCATCCCCTGCCAGGGCGTAACCTGGTTGCCACGCGTCGCAATGGGTGACAGATCAGATTGGGCAGCTCTGTGCCCAATCCAAAAAATGATGAAAAATGATGCTGTATCATGATGTGCCACATTCGCTAGGCATGCCTAGTCGAGGAATTCTACTGTACAGGACATCGAAAAACGATTAAAAATGATGTGCCACATTGCCCTAGATATGGGTAGCGAAGCAAAATACAGTAAAGGAAGGATCTAGAGGATAGTCAAAGCAAGAAAACGTTTCCCAAAAACTCAGATGGAACGCAGTAGGATTCTTGGGGGCCTATGATGGACTTCCAGCCATGCGACAAGCCCGAGCAAGTACACTCAGCTCGTCGTCGCTCTGCTTGTTCTCGGCGGTCCATTGGACGTATTCACACCACACTCGCACCTTAGGACAGCGGACTCGACCGGTCAAAAGGATGAAGTTCATCCTAACTTTTCACATCCCCCCCATGACAAACTCCTTGATGTTTGACAATTTCGGCCTTCATTTCTGGGAAAAATTGCCACTTGGGAACGTAGTAAATCCAAGGCTCTGCCTATAAGGCCAAGGCTGGGAATTTCTGAGTGTTCTACGATATTTTTCCAGTTGTTTCAATTCGAAATTTGGATCCCCCATTTTGGACCCCATCGAATGTTTCACGCTGGGCTGCTAGATCTCCTTCGCGGCCGTCACGCACGCGTGCTTCGAAGATATCTTCAGGCGTCTCCTGGCGCCGATGGATTAATTTGGGTTATGTCCCAATAGTTAATGATTAGAGGATAGAGGATTGGAGTAGAAGTTCAGAGGATGGACTCTCCAATAGTTTCTGGATCTTTGTGGGGTTCAACATCTGAAATGGTTTGCCGAAAGAATGATGTTTCTGCTTTTGCAGTTTGAATGCACCAAAAAAAAACTTGATGGAACACTACCAAGCCCCTAGAACCCGTTTCAACATGATGTTCCTCAAGTGCTGGTTTGCCATTCCATTTCATAAATGCAAGACATGGAGATGTTTAACAGTAACCAGGCTGGAAACAAAGGAATTGCCTCAAAGTGCGATGGCCACCTGGACCTAGTTCTTTGTCCCTGCCTCGTACCCCACAACTCGATGGGGCGCAGTCACCGCACCTCTGGAAAAACACACCTGGTCAGGTGAGTTGATGCTGGCGGCCATATATTTAGAGCATGTCTGGCAAATAATTTTGAGATTAGATGTATGTATGTATGTATATATGTATGTATGTATGTATGTATGTATGTATATATATAATATATATATATATATAAACCCTGTGCGAGTTCACCGGGTCAGGTTGGGGCCTGTGATTTTCTACTAGAAAATGAATGTTGTATAAATTAGGGACCCAAGAAAATCTAGCTACAGACATCAAACCAATTTGAGGTCCCCTAGAAAAATGGCAACCCCCAAGAAGTGCATTTTCGAAGCTATGGACAGTATTTTTTCTTAGAAAAACATCACCCTGCTTGAATTGCATAATGTTGAAATTACGCAATCAATTTTTTTGAAAACAACTTCCGGGGAATGGTTCCATTTTTGTAGAGCCCAACATCTAACCCATCGATTTTTTCGAACTATTCCGAATTTCATCGAAATTCCATCCATTTCCATCCCATTTCCATCCCACAAAATGACCCTTAAACTTGGACAGGAGAGAGATGGGACTAGATTTTAAGATATTTTAAGCATGTTTAAACAAAACAAAATGACCTACCAGTGCCTGTCTAGAAAATCAGGGGGCACTAGAAAATCTAGGAACGTCCTCCAAGAGATGCTAAAATTATGCTCCTGGATTTTGGGCACTTAAGCTACCCAGAAAATCAGGGTCTCCCGACTCAGAGGTCTCCAAAAGTTGTTCTGTAGAAAATGAGGGGGTTGATAAAAGCAGCCTTTCATCAACTTTCATCAAAATGGAAGAATTTTCGCGCCAGAAAATCAGTCCTTCTTAGGGGGGTTGACCCCCCTGAAATCCTAGAGGAAATTCACACCGGTATTATATATATATACAGTATATACACATGTGCGTGTGCGTGCATAATAATATACAATTATATTTATCTTGAGACTTGAGAGATGTCCAAATCCCAAAAAAAAATATGTCCTTCGATTCCTTTGTTGCTTTATTGCCTTCATGTCCCTCTCCAACAATAGCATCGCCCAAGACCCCACCTGTTCAACCGGATCGTGGTAGTCCCAGGGCTGGGAATTTGGGTGCAAATCCCAGTCCTTCGAGGGCGGGGATGGGATGCTCAGTGATACATCCTATGTTTTTCCTTTTCGTTCACTAGCAAATGTCATTTTGCAAAATTCGATGGTCAAAGTTTCTACGTGTTTCTACACCCTCAGTCCGGACCGATCAAACCCTGGTCGTTCATTGATACTGGAGTGGTCTAACTTGTTGAACAGAATTTTCACTGTTTCGGCGCCCGCATTTTTGGTCAACTGAGCACCCAAATCTCCTGGTTCTCTTTGCTTTGACCTTCGGGAGGCAACGGAAGTCCCTTGCAGTGCAACCGCCCAGAGGCCTCAGCTGGAATCGCAAGACAAATCCACTGAAACGCACCAAGAACTGTTGCCTGCTGTCCAAACATCATCAAACAGCTCAGAACCGTTGTTAATATAGTCGTATGGCCCGAACTTAGGTATCCCAGCAATTGGATGTTTTAATATGTTTTACTCCCATTATCACCGGGTGTTGCTGGTTGAATAGACGAAGTCCTCATATGTTTGGTTCAAATTCGCGCCAAGTCCTGAGCAGAAGTCCTTCGCATTATTTGCTGTCGAGCCACAGTGGCCAACATGGAGTCAGAGCAGCGTCATTCGCCGCTTGGGGGCCTTCACACGCGTCAAATGATGAGGGGCTGAATTTTCTTCCGGCCGCCCATCTTCAGAACGTGGTTTCATTCATCCGATTTATTAGCCCCAAAATGTTTGCCAACGTTGTATTTCATTTGAACCCGAGTTTTCCTGTATTTGCACAACAACAACAACAACAACAACTACATACTTTTGGTTTCACTCTTGGTGATTTGTCTTGGCACACTGAGGTAACGGTCTTGGCAGAATGGTGCAAACGTGCCACCATTTTTGTTAAAACGAAATTCAACAAAAACGAACAAAAGTGCAAACTCACTGTCACTTCTGTCTCTTGGTTCAGAAATCCCTCCCTCTTTCTCGGTGTGTCTCCGTTTCCATCGCTCAGCAAATTACTGTATCTGCTTCAAGGGCCGTACCATGGCCACGGCCAAACTCAGAAATTGAATGCACGCATGACACAGATTTCGGAGTTTGATGCCAATTTCAACCATTACCTCCCGAACAAGTCGGGTATCGATCAAAACCTCCAGAAATTTTAAAGGAGTTTGACCCAGCCCCTCTTCTCACTTTGAATCTATACGCCGCACCTCAACGGGACGCAGCATGGCGGCCATACGGTGGAACATCCGCGTGAAATTTTAATGTGGATGTTGCACATGTAGCTATGTGATGCGTCAAATGTGTGGTATATACCACACAAATCTGATATCACATGTGCTCAACATCTGTGCGCTTTAGTTCTGCAAACACCATGGTATGGTGAACCACATGCCACACAAAAAAAAAAAAATACACTAATAGAAACTGTTTGACATAATGGCACCCCTGAGCGAATCAATGCCGAACGCAAAGAACACACATGTCAACAAATCGCTGGACGTCAACGTGGCCGAACCATGTTTTGTTGTCAAGCACAAGGCTAATTTCTCTGCATCTGAGGCGTCCTCATTTTCGGGTAAAACAATTCTCAAAAATCTCAAAATTTATGTGTTCATACATCTTTTCCGAATCGTGACATCTCAACCGGTCTGAACTATGCATCTGCATTTTTTTTTCAAACGGTTTGACGTTTTGCATGCTGTGTTTTCCATGTTTTGCAACTCTCCGCTCCACAGTTCCCCCACATTTTTCCAGTTGTAGGCCATCGTCTGGTTTCCTCCACTTTCGGATGTGCCAGCCGGCACACAACAACACTTGTCAAATGGACGCAGCGGAGGTCGGCACAAAAGCTTTCACAACAAGAATCAGCGAGACATGGATCAAACAAAACCTACTTCCTCCCCAGATGGAAAGCGAAGTGATCTTAACATTTTTGAACATGTCTCGGCAAACACGAGCCCAAGTCGGTCTGTTCCGTGTGTTTGGCAGTGAGCCCATCTGATTTCTCCCACTAGTTTGAGCAGCACGCAGAAATTCACACCAGTGATATGTGCGTCGACCCCGCCTTCCAATAAAAACACAAAAGGATCACATTCACATGTCGTTGTTTGTTTTGTCGTGCGTTTTTTTTCGCCACATTGTTCCGCAGCACACTTTTCAACCCCGCCGACCCCTGCCAACCGCAGGGAGGGTGCGTCAGAGAAAAAGTGTCGTGTTGGAGCGAACTACAAGCGTCGTTCTGGAGCGAACTACTTGGGCTCTACAAGCGACATAAATTTTGCTGTGGCGCAACGCAGTTTTCAAGGCTTCGCCCGGGGCTCTACCAGCTACGTTTCTAGGAAGTTAAGAACGGGGCTCCACAAGCTGCTTTTCTAGGGGGTTCAGAAGGTGACGTCAGGCAATGCCGCCGTGGAGCTGGAAGCCCGCTGCAACGGTCAGGTCCATGGGGTTTTGCTGTGGCGGAGCGCGGCTTTCGAGGCGTCGCCCGGGGCTCTACAAGTTACGTTTCTAGGAAGTTACCTGAAGAATTTGTAACCTTTTTAGGCAAAATATTCTAATCCGACTTGGGGCCTAACACGCCGACTCTGCAAATGGCGGATGCTTCAACAAACGTTCGCGGTTTTCAGGACATCCCACATTTTCAGATTGAAGAAATTCAACGCGTGTTGAAGCAGATGTCTTCTAGGAAAACTGGGGCCGTGGATGGCGTAGCAGGTAAAATATTCAAATATGGAAATGTTGTTTTACATTCATGCCTATGGAATATTTACAACATTTTACAACAGTATGTATGTTGGATACTTCGAATTTTCCGGAATCGTGGTAACACACCGTTTTCAAGATGATACCAAACTGGAGGCACCACTGCTCTTAAAAATTGGGGGTGAATCGCAATCCTGACGATCACATACATTTTGTTTGCACAACTATTGCTGGAACGAATGAACACCTTTCTGGATAGGCAACAACGCAAAGATCAAACGGGTTTCAAGTCACGTGTTGTTATTGAAATTTTTGAATACGTTTTTACAATATTTATATAATTGTGTTTGTGGCAAAAGTCTGGAATGGAATGCGCCGGTATGGTTTGCAAACCTGGAGCTAACTACAGCATTAGCATTCGACCGGGTTGAGTAATTCCGTGCGCTGTTGGATCGGGGTGTGCCAACCTCTTATTGTTCATTACCTTGGACCTTGCATCAGCACCAGCAAGGAACACTTCGTCACGGGCCTTCATTTTCAATCCAACGTGGGGTGAAACAAGGCGATGTCATCAGCCCTGTTCTTTCTAACGCCGCTTTGCAAACAGCAGTGCGCAATTGAAAACTGCATTTGAGTCATCATGGTGTTGATATTGGAGCTGGCGAAAAGTTTACTAACATTCGGCAATTACGCTGATGATTTGCTGGCGTACGCTCAAACTGTGGAGGACTTACACTACATTGAAAGTAGATGGCTCCATTATGCTCAATTCCAAAAAAAAAAGGAAACCACGAACCCGAATGTATTCACGTTCTTGGATAAGAGCGCAAACCAGAACTTGCACAAACACGTTCCAGTACTACCGTACACTACAAAACTTGCAGAAACACGTTCCAGTACTACTATGCGCTACAAAGTTTGCAGAAAGTACTTCCCAGTGCTAGTGTGTACTACAACGCTTGCACAAAGTACTTCCCAGTATTACTGTGTACTACAACGTTTGCACAAACATGTTCCAATACTACCGTACACTACAAAATTTGCACAAACAAATTCCAGTACCGTATGCTACAAAACTTGCACGAACACGTTCCAGTACCACCGTTCACAACAAAACTTGCACAAACACGTTCCAGTACTACCGTACACTACAAAATTTGCAGAAACATGTTGCAGTACTACCGTATACCACAAAACTTGCACAAACACGTTCCCATACTCCCGTATACTAGAAAACTTGCACAAACACGTTCCCATACTCGCGTATACTACAAAACTTGCACGACAACGTTCCAGTGCCACCGTATACTACAAAACTTGCACCAACACGTTCCAGTAGTAGCGTATACCTGCAGAAACACGTTGCAGTACTCCAGTATACTACAAAATTTGCCCAAACACGTTCCCATACTCCCGTATACTACAAAACTTGCACAAACACGTTCCAGTACTACCGTTCACTACAAAACTTGCAGAAACACGTTCCAGTACTACAAAAGCTGCACAAGCACGTTCCAGTACTACCGCACGTTACAAAACTTGCAGAAACACGTTCCAGTACTACCGCATACCACAAACCTTGCACAACACGAGGTTTTGCAGTTTCCCCTGTGGACACCGAATTAACGACGCGGAAAACGACGCGAAAACGACGCGCCAACCAACTGGAGGCGAACAAGGGTCCAGCCCCCAGACCCCCAGACTATAACATTCGGGAAAAATACCCATAAGATGGCACTGCGCACTGAGGAAGAAAACGGCGCTATTTTGGCAGGAGCATAAAACGGAATTGCGCCATCTATGTGGCTTACCATGTTGGTATTGTATTCTAAATATGTATTATGTAAGTATATCTCTCTCTCTCTTTCTCTCTCTCGCTGACCAATTGAAACTATGTTTTGGCCTTACTTGATTTTCAATAATGATTCAAAATGAAATTGAGTATATAATAAATATGCTAACGGTTTACATGCCATCAACCCCCCATTTTTCATCTCAGGTGGTGGTGCCAATGGGACACACAAGGGGGGGAGACAACAGGAGGACCTCCGAGCGCCAAAGCTCGAGCTGGGGAAGGCTACAAGGTGATGGACAAGGGATGCCATGGACGAGGCAAGCGCCAGCGACACTGATCAAGGCAGCGGTGTCGGGGGAACGGGGGGGCACAACAGACAGACATAACGGAAGAACTCAGAAGGTCCACTTCGAAGTGGGGTGAACTCAGAAGGTGCACCTCGGGAGGTGGGGTGAGTTCCGGGGAACCAATGGGAAGGCCACAACGGGGAGACACAGCGGGAGGGAAACAACGGCAAAAGGAGAATGTCACGTCGATGGTGGGTAAATGGACACAGTGCTTGTATTTCGTGTGCATTTCATAAATGAAATTTGAAAATAACAAATTATGTCTCAAAAAAAATGTCCGGGAAATCCACAATGGACGACGACTCATCATCCATACTCCAACCCTGACTTGCGCCATATATGTCAAAGATAACCACGATACACACGGCCAATGCGAACTTTGTTGCATGTTCGATCCCACACAACCCAAGTCCGGCTTGATAAATCATAGAATATCATAGATCGCCATCTTTCACATTTGATTCTTGCTTGCCAGTCAACGCCATTGTTTGACCGGCAGTTTGATGCCCATTTGCAGTGATCCAGAGAGGTTGCGATTGATTCAACCTTTGTTTCTGTACCACCTGCTTCCGGGGAAAAAATATATACTCCAGATTTAAAGAACATGGCTCTGAATCTTGAGTTGCGCCATCGAGCCCAAACACAAAATACAGGGGATAGATGGCGCCACTCCATTTTCAAAAAAATAGTTTGCACCAGGTATGTCCCTAAAAATGCCTTATGTTTCCTCTATTTTTTGCAATATTTTGAGCTGGTTTGCACCCATTTTTGTTCCTCAACATCAACTTGCCCTTGGTTTCCTCAGTGGGTACCCTTCCCGTTTTTTTTTCCCCCTTGGGCCTGCGCAAGATATTCCAATAACGCTCCCGTATGCGCGCACGGCGCGAACTCAAGAAAAACAAGGCTTAAAGTTCATCCAGTGGCTGAGCAAGGGGACATAAATGGCGCAAACCCCCTTCAACAGGCCAAGGAAGGTTGGCATTGGCAAACACATTTAAGAACAATACTTTTGTCTTGTCCTCATCATCAAGCCCTTGCCTGGTTTGCGCCATCTATATGCGTCCCAAACATGGAATTTCAGCAGGCTGAGGGGGTTGGCGTTGGCAAACGGGTTTCAAAACAATTTTTTGTCCTCATCAAGCCCTTGCCTGACTTGCGCCCGATTTTTGGGGCATTTTTCCTCCCCAGGATGAAAAGAGATGCGCCATCTATGTGGCATATTTTGGCAGGTCGGTTGAGGGATCTCGGGAGGTATGAGGGATTTGCGCCATCTATGTAGGCATTCCCAGCCTGATTTTGGCGAATGACTGGGACTTGCGCCATCTATGTCCTCCAAAGCAAGTTTGATGTTGAAAAAAAACATTGGGTGCAGACCAGCTCAAAAGATGTGCAAAAAATAGATATATTTTTATTTTT